ACACTACTATAATTGCCCCCAACCCTACTGACAGCTAACTGCCCTCCTCCCCAATCCTTTTTGATAGCTGTTTCTAACACCTTGACAATCTGATGATTTTTAACAGTTGATTGGCCTACGGCCAATAGAATTACCCTCTTTTCGGTTGCTATTTCTCATCTTAAATGGAATCCTGTAAGAGTTCGAAAGCTCAGGACAATAAATCAATTGATCCGACGCTCGACATGTCTTCTTCCTCATCCAATAGGCGATGCCTTTGAAAACCGTATTGATTACATACCGGTGCGTCATATGCATCTGTACACGCACGCGAAAAATTGCCACTAATAAAACAAACAGTGAGTGGCATTATTTTAACAAATATTTTTGGAGTTTGTGCGCTGTTAGTTCGAGTCAATCCTGTCGAGAGACAAGAGGGGACATATCTTTTGATAAAACTGTGACAACGGGCTGCTATTGAGTTTTAGACCAAGTTGCTGGGCCATTTACAAATGCATGATAATGCTATAGCTGCGGAACGTCAGAAGCTGCAGGATATTCTTAGTCAGCGCAGGTCTGCTGCTATGTCAGCAAGAACTGCTCGCGCCCTCACTACAGCAAAACAACTCCTCACAAAACAGTCGGAAGTTGAACAGGGGTAAGCGCGATCACCAAATATCATCTTACTCTGTTTTATATATTAACACTACTGAATATTATTCAGTAACCTAAAAATATTACATGATTGTAGATTTGAACAAGCGAAGGCCGACATGGAGAAGAAGCTAAAAACGCGCATCTCCATGCAGAAGCACACCAGTGACAATAAGAACGATGCGAAGACCCATTATAAACCGACACTCGACAGTACCGCGTAAGACGTGTCTTTATGATTAATGAAACCTTGTCTCAATTCAGCGAACTTGCTCAGTTTGAGGAATGCGTCGGTTGCTCAACGTTGAAGGAGGAATAGCAGGCAGGTGGCAGGAATGAAACTGGTCTTAACTGCTGCCCCACACCGTCTGCCTTATGCTGCACCGTACTCATAACTTCCCCTGTTATGATCTAATTTATTTTTGATTAGTAAAATCACTCGATATAATGTCCGACATCGCCAAATTTATTCCTTCGGTTGTATAACTGCTTTCGAAAATGCGGCATTGTTGAGGGTTATGTTGGGAGAATGTTATTTCAATTGGCAAGAAAGCCAGTCGCATTATTGTCAACATTGAATACTGTATCACAAAGAGCACCAGCCGGGATTGAATAACACTGGTTGATGGCGGCTTATATACCGAAAATGGTCATTTCAGTCGCCTTGTGTTTGCTAGCAATGTTCATATGCATATACGCCTATCTAGCAGAAAGTCCAAAGGGAATGCTGGAGGAACCACTCGTGAGTCTAACCCTACGAAGCTGTAACATGCAGCGGTAGAATATCGGCGAAACACATGTCTGAGAATGTGGCTAGTACTTTAACTGCCGTGTGTTAGTTCGACCATCGCAAGCGAAGATATCCACCATTCGCTCGAGAGCAGGGACGGTGACTGTGGTCAGGTATAGTGAAAGTAGACGCACCGCCATCCTCCCCACTCTAAACCCTCTCAACTGCATCAAGCGGTGGCAAGACAAAATATTAATGAATGGTGGAAAATATGTAAGGCCCAGATAATTGAATAGAAAACGTGAAACAGTTTTTTGAGGCCGGTTATATACTTGTCCGACGTCTCGAAATGTCACGCAAACTCGCGCGAGCGAAAAGAAGAAAACCAACGGGGCAGCCCGAATGGACACGCTGGCGACTAATACCTTATACTGTTGGAGTATCCGAAGTTTTTGCTCGACTGGTCAGCAAATTTGGAATTGGCGCTGATCACCGACCGGAAGCAACAGTCCGCAGACACTTCATGCTGCCTACTGATCCAATACCCGTTAACGAGGCATCCGCTGTCATTTACCGGATCGATTGTCGTCTTGGTCAAGCCAATTATGTTGGTGAAACCAGCAAATGGGTTCTCACGAGAGTGCTCGAACAGGAACTCGCCGTGCAAAGGAAGGACAGGCTATTCTGTGTAGTTGCTAACGCATCCTCGACTTCGAAAGCGTGAAAATACTTGGTCAATCATATGACCGAACCTTACGCCTGCTGCCGGAAACATGGCACTCCTGTGTGTCCTAACATTGATCATAATCCCGACCGCAACCGAAAAAACCAATGAGCCCGTGGTGCAGTGGTAGAGTTTTGCATTCAATGGTCAGGCGTGGAGGGTTCCAATCTTGGTAGTCGCAACCCCAGGGATCGGATACGTTTGGCTGATGATGGCTTGACATTCCTGCGTCGAAAACTTAATGAATACCTTTACGTTTTTTTTCAAAAAACGTATTTTTTTTCAAGTTGCATTTCTTGGAATGCCTGACTTTCAAATTATATACGAATAAATATATGTCACCGGGCTGTTCTATTGACAGCAGTTATATTTGCAAACATTAGATAAGGATAAAGAAAGAAAAATGTAAGAATCATCCCACCACCCTACCGTGAATTGAGAGTCAAATTACCGAGAAACGAGTCTTGCTCCATGTTGGGTCATGAGAACAGAAACTGGAGTTTACTACCTTTCGACAGTGATTTAGAGCATATGTGGCAACTATATGCTTCGATATAACACTCTGAAGTGGCGATTACACTAGTGATGACAATAATCCATGCATTTGGTTGAACGTTCCGTCTTTCCGCTGCATTTTTGGTTTACTAAACATGATTTACAATTCGTTGTAATCGAAAAGAATCAACACTGCCCGGAGGAATTTTTACGAGTTCAGTGGGTCAGATTATAGGAAGGAAAACTTTTAAAGCTCCAACGTCACTCTCTCCCTGCACTTAATTAAAAGACGGCTAAAACCCGGCCTAGACACAACGGATACCATGGTGTAAGGCAAGCTTCTGCATGTGGGCTACATTTGCGGATCCCTCAGCCTAAATTGATACGACTTCAGTCATTCCGTTTAAGTTCCTTTAATGCGAAGTTAAAGAGGAATCTCCTGCGAGAAACTCATGAATCTGCACATTCTGAGCAACAACAGATTGTATTAATGTTTTTTAGTTTGCCATAGCGAGAGCTCTTGACACATATTCTGAGCAGTACCCATAGAAGCTAAAAATGTCTATTTCTTTCGTTAACAGCGTTTGATACAGTATACGGTAGGTGACATATTTCCTGAAATATGTGTAGATCTGATACAAACTGTCCATAAACTTGAGACCAGGGATGAAAGTGAAGATGCGAGACACAGTTTCTGATTGCAAAGGAAATGAAGGCGCAATCGATGGGACAGCAATTTCATTTGTATGAGCCCTCGGTTTCGTAGACGAGGCATGCTTCTGAGACAATAAGAGTGTAGCGAAAATGGACGTGTTTTTTATATTTCAGCTATGGAAAAATGTGGGATTTTTGGAGGAAGGACGAAGAGGATAGCATTCTTGATATAGTGAACCCATGCCACGTCATCTCACATCATCGCCATCACGGCGTGGGTCTTTGGCGGGGAACTGGACCGCTTGAACGAAGGGCTTGGTAGCAGGAGGATATATTCCCAGCCCAGGACTCACACCGGGACGTCGACGACATGAGTCGGCGTGACGTGGATTCAACGTATCACGAATGCAGCCCCCTATTTTTGGTCAAAGCTGAAATACAAATCACGTCAATTCTCGCTACACTCTCATAGTCCCTAAAGATGGTTACTTGTTTGAAACCGAAAGCTCAAATAAATACAAGCGCCTGCCTTTTCTGTGCAAATTGGA